CATTAAGAAATGCATAAAACACTATAAATAGGGTTCAAGTGCAAAAACAAAGAATCAACAATTTAATCCTTCTTCTTCTCCTTAATTCAAAACTTCTATATTTTCTGATTTTCTATTCGGGTTGAGTTTTGATTCCAAGATTACTAAAAAGTACAATCTTTGATAATCTTAAAGTTAGACATTGAATCATGGAGGTAGAATTTCCAAGAGTCCATCTGCATTATAAGTGAAAAAATTACTATCTCGAAAATAGCGAGTGTCGCGTCTTGCCTAACGATCTATCTTTTTCGATTTTTGATTCCTTGCTTTTCTACTACTTGAAATTATTTTATTACACTGTTTTCTATAACATATTGGAACCCACAAAATTAATTATTGTGGTAAACTCAATAAATTATGTCAATAAATTAAGTTTAAATAAAATTATTGATTATATACAAGTCACTCACTTATTAAAAATAAATAATTCTCTAATAAAAAAAAATAAAAATATATATATTAAACGAGATCTCATGTTAAAAATATACGGCATTTATTTCAAAGCCAGTAATTACGCGAGAGAAAGTAAACACTGCAGACATCCCGTTCATCCACAACTTTGGGTGTGCTTTGGACTTGGGAGGTTTCAATGTCTTTTATTCCTCCTTTCCAGTCGAGATAAATATTGCCAAACACACTCTAAAACAATAATATTATGATACCCAAATACTTTAACAAAACTAGTACCCCAACTAGTATCCCAACTAACGCGACAAATGCCACATTAGCACTAGTTTTTGAGCACACCCCACGTTCCATCTCTATATGAGTAACGCTACACTGACCCATTAGCATTACTCTCTCTATATTTCCATGCTCCTCCTTCTCACCCATTTCTCTCTCTCTCTCTCTCTCGCTCGCCAATCACACACTCCTTTCTCTGGCAACACAACTACGCTGATGACCACCCAGTTTATTCGCCCCCTCTATCTTTTTCTCCCCTTCTCCCCTTGGCCACTCTCTCGTTTTCATATTTCCTCTCTCTTGAAAATCTTTTTTTCTCCCCTTCTCTTTCTGGGTTTTCTTCCTTAACCAAGATCAATGTGTCTCTGTAGCATCAATGTAACCCTCAAGAACAAACTAAACACCATTTTTGCGACAAACTAGAGAATCAACAATGGGTACAAAACATTAAATACCAAATACCCAAAATTAAAACCAACAATGTGATTTGCAAAACGGGCGTATTTTTATTTTTATTGTTTGCTTTTTCTGAAATGGGTGTTTGAGATTTTCTAATATTGGAGCTGTTAGATTGATGGAAAAGCACAAGGTTGGAAAGGAACCAGTGACTGGCTTTTCTTTGTTTGAAGATTGTTTTCATTGATGTTCAATTTACTTTTTGTTAAATCTTGTTTTTCATTGTTCGATGGGTATGAACCAAAGATTCAGCACCCACATTTTGCTCTTGATCTCCGGGATTGACTCCCAAAACTACTGACAGAGCTAACAAATAGAAAGCTGAGAATGGTGGTGGAGGGTAGCCATTTTTTAGTGTCTCACTCCGACCAAATACACTAACTTATTTGGTACTAGAAAATTAAATTCAAAGTATGTATGGGTGTGAGTGGGTGTGTCGGTGTGGGTGCTTGGGCATGTGTGTTGTGTGCGTGTGTTGTGCTGTAGAGGGATCATGGGTGTGAGAGAGATGTTTTTCGTGCCGAGGGAGCCCTTGTAGTTAACCAGTTTGCTCCTAATAAAAAAAAAAGGGTGTGTTCATGTTGTTTAGTATAGACTAAACCAAGTTGAACTCTTTAATGAAATATTAGGTTGTCTTTATTTTTTTGGCTCAATTAAACGTAGAACTAATAAGTTCAACAATCAATCAAAATTGTCGGGCTCAACGAATGCAGCATTCACTCATTCGTGAGCCTTCGGTCCCTTAAGGACGACTCCAGTCAAACAATACAAAACATGACATTGACCATTCAAATATCACATAAAGAGAAGAGAAGAAGGGGAAAAGGAGAGGGGTTTTGGGTGTCAGAGGGATTGGTGAAGTATTTGGACAACGTAGTATTATTGCAACTGACTATCTCTTGTCAACGAATCTTGAAAAGCCAACGGTACTTAGATATTATGGTAGTTCATGTTATACTGTGAGTGTCCACCCTTGGTCTTCACAAATCTATCGTCCAGCTAACGCATGAAACACTATGCATAGGGACAACGATTGCAAGGCCAAAACTCAAAAGGAATTGAGATTTTGATTTTGATTTGAAAAATTGACTTCATACGGATGAATTTTTCATAATTGCAAGTCACACATGTGATATTGTTTTTGACCTGTCAACTTTTCTATATTTACTTAACTTATTTTACAATATATTGTCTCACAAATAAGATGACACTCTCACCGTCAAAAAGTAAGAGCTCTAAATAATATTTGTCTTAATTTCAAAGGTACACTCAAGTGTAAGTGATCACATTATTGTAATAATTACGAAAATATAAGGTCGATCATGAGAGAATAAATAACTTGAATATTAGTTAAAGAAAAAATGAGATTGTCCCAAAAAAAAATAGAAATGTTTAGAAAACAATTTTAAAAATAAAATTTAGAATAACATAAATTGAAACGACAATCCTTTTTGCCAAGGGACCTGTACCATTTATCTTGTTAACATGTTTTTTTCTTGCAAACATCATTTGGATCTATCCCTTCGATAAATGGATGGGATCGATTCCCATTAATTTTCTCAAAGCAATTTGGATCACTCCCTAAAACAAATGGAGCAGTCTCTTTTATGCTCTATTTGGTAAGTTAGAAAAATAGAAGAATAAAAAATTAAAAAAATGAAAAGTTAGTTGCATAGATAAAATGTCATATTTGATAAAGAAGGAAAATAGAAAAAATAAAAAATAGATGAAAAATTAATTATTTGTGTTAAAAAGTATCTTATTTATCTATATATCCTGTGATATATACATATATTATATATACATTAATTAGTTGTAATCCGTGCCTGAATACACGATAAAATATAAAATTCGAGCGTCCAAATAATCAATTCCATTATATTAAATTTTTTCAAAATATTTTAATTACAAATTAATTAAATATTAAATAATTAAATATATGATAAAAATGAGTGGTGTGATATTTTTAGGAAGAAAATATATAAATAATTAAATATGTGATAGAAATGAGTGATGTGATTTAACGTTTGAGTCTGACAAATGGATGATGGGTGAGATAAGTGATTGATAATAGTTTTGAGGGGAAAAATATGACTGAGATAAAATTCAAACACACTTCTGTTTTATTATATATATTTCATATATAAATACAATGATAAAATATGTATTTATAATTTTTTTAAAAAAATAAAAAAACAGAAAATATATATTTTCCATCTTACTACATACAATTAAAATTAATTATTTTTATTTTTCATTCATCCTACTAAACTCAAAAGAAAGAAAATATATCATTCTTACTTTTTTTCTTTAAGAATATAAAATATATTTCTCTTATTTTTCATCTCTCATGCTTTTCATCATTTCTATTAAGCATAACATTATTCTTCTAGTCTTTCAATTTCACTTTTTCAATTTAATTCTCATGATGTTAATTTGCCGTGCACATATGTTTCTATTATGTCCCCAGTTTATAAAACATGTAATTTATCTATAAAATATTAACAGAAACACAAACGAGCAGAAAATATTATAATTGACATTATCGACAAAAAAATTGTATAAATTATCAACAATAATATATCAATTTTTTTAGGGAGAATTATATTTAGGCTCTCTAAAATTTATCACTTAATCACTTATATTCCTAACATTTAAAATATTACGTACAAACTTTCTGAGATTTGTACACGCGTAACACTTAGACCCGTGCTACTAATGTCCGTTAATATATCAGTTAATAAATAATATCCAGAATCCATTAAATTTGTAAGCATATAATACGTAGACTCCTTAAATTTTAAATGTTATACTTCAAACAAAAAATACTTCAATTAAAAATAGATTATCAAATATTTTAAATTTTACAATCAAAATTCATGTTTTATTGTATCATTTATTTAAATAAAATCAAAAATAAAAATATAATTTTCTCTTAAAAAATCATAATTAATATACAGTTATACTATCTATTAGAGTAAAACTAAAAAATTAAATAAGAGATCAAATTGTAATGCACACAATGTCTTTTACCTTTAATTGGAGTAATTTAGTATTTTATTTTGGTCGTTTAAACGACTAAATTAAATTCCAATAGATAGGATAATTGTATATTAATTATGATTTTTTAAGAAAAAATTAGATTTTTATTTTTGATTTTATTTCAATAAATGTCATAATGGGACAAGAATTTTGAATATAAAATTTAAAATATTTTATATTCTATATTTGATTGAAATGTTTTTAATCTAAATATAACATTTTAAACTTAAGAGACTAAGTATTATAATCCTACAAATTTTAGGCGTTTTAGGTGTAATTTACTACGTATAAATTTTAAGAGGTTTGTATATAATATTTCAAATATTAAGGAGTTTGAATGATTAAACGATAAACCTCAAAGAGTTTGAATGTAATTCTCCATATTTTTTTATGTTAATCAATATTTAATGGTGGTCGATGAAAAACATCAAATTTTAAATCAATTTAATCAACATAGATCGACTTGAAATTTTAAATCCAATTTCGGTTCAAATCAATGAAATTCGATTGATTATCAAAGCTTAACAATGAGAATTGGGGAGCATCTTTTTTAGACATGATGCATCATATTCTTGTTGCAAATTTCGGATTTTTCAAATAAAGGACAAGATTTCAAAAAAAAAAAAGATTTAATCACTAAAATCCCCTCCAGAGTATTTAATCGGAAAAAATCGAATATTTTATTTTCATCACCACCACTCACAATGATAGACCATCATCATCACATCATCTCCCTCATCCTCTGTCTCTCTCTCACAACCCCATACCCTTACTCTCTGCTTCACTCTTCGGACCAGAAATGGCTCTTTCCTCTATTTCCCATTCTACCCTTCTCACATTCCTCTATTTTCTCATCTTCTCTTCACACCACATACCCATTGTAGCCTTTAACATCACCAATTTTTTATCCTCCAACCCCGATCTTTCCGACTTCACCAACCTCCTCACAACCACCTCCGTCGCCGCCGATCTGACCCAACGAACTGCCGTCACACTCCTTGTCGTCCCCAACACCTATCTCCGCTCCTCCGATCTGACCCATCACCCTTACACCCCCTCTTCCACCAACCTCGCGGATGTTTTCCGCTACCATGTCCTCCTCGAATACCTCTCTTTGTCTGACCTCCAAAGTGTCCCACCCAACGGAAAACTAGTCACCACCCTCTTCCAAACCACAGGCAGAGCCACTGGCAACTTTGGCTCTGTCAACATCACCCGTAACCCCACTACCAACACCGTCACCATCTTCTCACCCACAACCAACGCTACCATTCTCTCTCTCATCATATCCTTGCCGTACAACATCACCATCTTCTCCGTCAATTCCCTTCTCGTCCCTTACGGATTCGATCTCATGGCTTCCGAAACAAGACCCCCTTTGGGTCTCAACATCACCAAAGCCCTCATCGATGGCCACAACTTCAATGTGGCGGCTTCAATGTTGGCGGCATCAGGTGTCGTCGAAGAGTTCGAAGCGGATGAGGGTGGTGCTGGAATTACTCTCTTTGTCCCCACCGACGATGCGTTCTCTAATCTACCAGCGACAGTGAGATTTCAATCTCTGTCAGCTGATCAGAAAGCTGTGGTCTTGAAATTTCATGTTTTACATTCCTATTATCCACTTGGGTCGCTCGAGTCAATCGTGAACCCGGTTCAGCCTACATTGGCTACGGAGGATAAGGGAGCTGGAAGCTACACATTGAACATTTCTAGGGTTAATGGGTCGGTGGCGATTAATACTGGGATAGTTCAAGCGTCAGTGACACAGACGGTGTTTGATCAGAACCCGGTAGCCATTTTTGGGGTTTCCGAAGTGTTGTTGCCCACGGAGATTTTTGGGAAGAACCCAATTTTGGTTAACAAGCCTAGTAATAATGGTGCAACGGGTAATGCTCAGCCGCCTGATATTTCTCCGTCACCGGAAATTTCACCGGCATTGTATGAACCGCCGAGTCATTTGTCTTCTCCGCCGGGATTTCGCGAGGACATACGATCTGTAGCGCCCAATAATGGAGTTCGGAGAGCCAGTGTGGCTCTTTGGTTTATAGGGTTTTATGTATTGGTATGACATTAAATTACATTATTTCTCAAGGAAATTACCATTTTTTTTTCTGGGTTTTTTGTTGTTGTTGTTGTTGTTTCTTTTTGACACGGAGAATTGAATTGGGCTACAAAAGCAGCCATTTTTCTTCTGGGATTCTTGGGGAGATTTTAATTTCGCCTTTATGTCAAAAAGTAGCATTTATTTCTCCTCTCCATGGTTCAGCATTGCTGTTGTAAAAAGAAGTTGAATTTTGGTGTATAATTATGAAATCTGTTGTACAAGTCATTGTATAAATCTGGGTAAGCTTTTAACTTTTTATCAGTTTCGCTTTCTTTACATTCTGGAGTGGTCTATATTGATTGTCTCTACAGAAAGTCTGCAGACTCTTAGCAGTTGTTAAAATTCTCGATACGAAAGAGTCAAAACACAGATAGAGCTTTCTTTGCGCTAGATTCTTCTATCAGTAAGTACTCTCTCTCTTTCTCTTTAATTTTTTTGTTTTTCCCAAAAGTACTGTACTATTCCGACGGAAAGACTTTAGGTCATTTTTTTTGCAATGTTGGGGGGTTATTTTTGTCAAGTGATAGATATTTGAATCGACCAAAAATCGTGTTTGGATTCTAATCCAATGGCACTTTTGTTGATTGTATGTACCACAATTTTCTTTCTTTTTTTTTTTTGATAAAAAGTGTTTGACAGTTAAAAAAAAAAAAAAGGGTTATTGGTCCCATGATTGGATGGTCACGATCAAAAGTGGAGATATATTTTTTTTGGGCAAAATTTACTTTGCAAGGGTGCCCCTCGAAAGATTTTAAATTTTTTATTTTATACCTCTAAATGTTATATTTTTTATGTTACACCCTTAATCTATCAAAAATATTACAATATAGTCATTAGATTTTTGTTAGTTTTTTTGCCAATGTCAATGTACTGATTTTTGACAAAAAAATAATAAAAAATTAGCAAAAAGACTGTATTAGTATATTACAACACTTTTGATACATAAAATGAAACATTTGAAATCTTTTAAAATAGTGTAATGCTATTGAGATCTAATTTACTGATATAATTTATTGTAACTTTTAGATTCACTGTAAACTCCATCAAACATTAGAATTTGGTGTTAATCCAATAATTTTTATGAAATTACATTATTATATCAACAAATTATGTCTAATTTTTAAGTCCAAATAATATTACCCTTTAAAATATAAAATATGAAACCCTTCTTTAAAAAAAATTAGAATAAGTTTAAGAGTAATGCTACATGGACTTAAAAATTATACTTGATAATATCAATCATTGAATAGGTAGTGGGTTCCAATAAATGTTGGGATCTACAGTGAAATTAATGGTTGAGATTATCAAGTCTAATTTTTAAGTCTAATTTTTAATCCATGTAACATTACTCTAAGTTTAACTCATCAAATGGTGGACACATCCAATTAGAGCCCACCATAAAACAAATTTGTGGGATAAATCGAATTTTTAAAAATAGTGGCAATTATTCATTTAAAATGTATAATTTTTTTTAATAATATACAACACAAAACACTGTGATTTGGTGGGTGAATAAGGGTCGTACTGGGTCGGACAAAAATGAATATTAGTCAAAATCTGTCACGTTTGGACCAGAGATGAATCATACGTATTAGATGGTGAACGTATACCGGGATGAATTGACAATTACTCCAGCCCTGCCTCTGCCCCGCTATGCATTACCCGTTATTATATATATATATATATATATATATGTGTGTGTGTGTGTGTGTGTGTGTGTGTGTGTGTGAATACAAATCTATATATTACTGAATGATTTTTTCTTTTGAAAATTATTTTATTTTTTGATTTTTTTTTCATGTTTTTTGCTTATAAAAGTGTAAATTTTTGTATTTTATGTTTTTTTTTTTGTTGAATTATATTATGTTACATTATATTTGTGTTGGATTTATATGGAAGATAAATTTTTAATTATATTATGTTGGATTATGTTATAGATGACAATCTTTTTAATTATGTTATGATATTCTATAATTATATTAGATTATTTAAAATGTTATATTAAGAATTTTATATTATGTTGGTTTAAACTTAGTTAAGAAAGGTGGACGGAGGTGGGGGTGAAAGTGGGAGCAGAGATTATAAATTTATTCTCAAATTGGGATAGAGATAAAAATTATATAAATTAATAAGAGTATATCAAACATAGACAAAATTTTTTTAAAAGGGACGAAAATTACATTTCCGCGCCGCTAGAGTCCACTGTCATCCCGGTTTGCGAAAGAAACCACACAAAAGTGAGTCCCAAAAAGCTGATGTTCTAGCGTACCAGAGCCGTTGGATATTGATTGGCCAATGTTGGATCACTGTGTACGGTCAGATGTAGCGTTCTTCTTTTCTTTTGGGAACAGTGATCTACACCGAGTGTTGAGTTCTCAGATACTCTTCTTAGCTGTCTGATGTTAACATTTAATAAAAAATAATAAAAAATACGGGCCCATCATTATACAAGTCCTCATGGGGACCCATTGTGCAGTATGTTATATTGGGCTTTATCTTCTAAGACAGTGGACATGATCTGTTCAGAGTGTGAGACCTAATTATCTATTAATTTAAAAAGAAAAATTTGGAGGCCGGTTATGAATCTATTTGGACTTAAATTCATCAAAAAATTTATTTGTTATGAAGTTTGTTTATTGTTAATTTTACCATATTATTTCTTTCCTTTAGAAGTAAAATAAAACTAACAATTAAAAACTCATAAATCTTAAAAATTTGACTAACATTAAAATCTTTTACTTCTCATATCTATCTATATCTATATATAGATTAAGAGTTTAACTAACATTAAATTTTTTTTTTCTCTTATATATATAATAAAATAACTAAATTAGTTTGTCTTTAACTTTTCACGGTTCAAATCATTTTAAAACTTTTAATCCGACAATCCTCCTACCAAATTTTACTAACACTTATATGTCTCGTCTAACTCTCTTCTCCTCGTATCACATACCGACTAATACAAAGATTCCTCTCTCCTCTAACTTTCATTTTTAAAAACAAATAACCTTCCAGCAACTCTATCTTCCGAACTCTCTCTCTCTACCTTGCACCTGCAACACACACCCTTATCTCTGGCTTCTCTGTCTTCATCTTTGATTCTCACTCATGCCACTTTGTAATCCATAGATCCACCAACCACTACCATCCAACGCCCTCCTCTTCCTCCCTTTCTCTGATTATTCTCTATCCGGCGACACGAGGATCCCCAACCACCGTCATCCATCAGCCACCAGTGACTGCCTCCATCCAACGCCATCCACAACGGAACCCCACCCCCATCCCAATCCTAACCCTAACCAAAGTTTTATACCCATACATTGATTGGAATTACAAAAAAATTCATAGTGATTATGCTTTAGAAAATGGTATAGAATTTTGCTAAAATATGACTTCAATTAGGGTAAGCTTGATGGAATATGTTCGGTGTTTGATTTTCATATGTTGGAATTAAATGGCATTGGGGGAGCTGATGGCGTTACGATTTTTAGTGTTGTCGTCGGGTTTGTGATTACGGTCTAGAAATTGAGGCTGGTCGATTTGAAGTTCGATTTTTTTGTTCAATCCATTCAAGTAAGTGCAAATTTTCTCAAGCTGATAGCTAGGTTGTTTTATTGGGAATATGACTTATCTTACTATTTTTCCTTTTCTTTGAATTGGATATATTTGGTAGTAAGAGCACCTTTGAACTACAATTTAGGGATTTCTTTATTCAACGTCTCAAGAGTCCATGTAAGGCTCGGTATTGTATTTGAACAAAAACCTAAATATTAATACATTTTCATCTGTGGATGGTTGCTAGGAGTAGAGTGTGGAAGACAGAAAAATGTGTAGCAAAATTGCAGCTCTGTTTTTTCTTTACTCAAGTAAGAGACTTTTTGTGTCAACACAAATCCTCGGTGCCAAGAACGGCGATGGCGAGCGACGGCAGCACTAAACATGCCAATCTC